AAGACGGCCGAAAAAGGGCCTCGCCCAAATGGAGGCGCCTAGAAAGATTCACAGGCAGGGAAAAAACTTCTAGCATACTCATCACCGTTAACGGAGGCCCAGGCCGGACATGCACTACATGTGGGGACTCCCCCGACCCTTGACCCCTAACATGCAGGGGCAGATCTCACGTCAGTCTCTGGTCCTGCCCTTGAGATCTCCCAAAGTCGAGATGTCCACGAAATGCCCGGTCTCACCGCGTCGCTTTCGTTTGACGCGGTAGCTCTGGCAGCGGTTGTGGCTCTCAAGATCTTAAAGGAAGGGCCGGGCAGGGTTTGCCCCCCAAACTTTCCCGTTGAGATCTTTTCCCACAGCGCTTCTCCACGGCGCCCTCTTTTGCGTACTCTTTGCGTACTCTCGATGGACGATCTCTGGCAGCCTCTCTTCCAGCACGCCTTTGAGTCCGACGTCGTGCTGCTCGGCGAGGGCGACACCGTCGGCCTGCACACCAACGGGGCCGCGCTCGTCGCCTTTGCGCCGGAACTCCAGGTCCACATCGACAAAGCCACCGCCGCCGACATCGAAAAATCGGCCGTGGCGGTCGCCGACAAGGCTGACGTGGTCTCTGCCTCGACCGGCGCGGCATCGGTCGCGCCGGCCGGCGTGGCGTCGGTCTCGGCCGGCGTGACGTCGGCCGCGGCGGGCCAAGTCGCGGAGACGTCCGACGCGATCGCCATCGCGCGGGAGGAGGGCCTCGCCATTGTGCCGCTCCCAGGCTCGCGGCGCGCCATCAAGGTTTCTTCTCATGCCCATCACACCTCTCTCTCGCCACGCACGCCCACTCGACTCCGATCCACCCTCCGTAGCTCTTCCTGCGCCTGGCACACGAGTCGCTCCTCAATGCCGGCGGGGCGAACAACTTCGACTGCGACGAAACAATGTTCGACTTCCTATTCGACAGCGAGTCGCTGCACTGCGAGTTCCTGGAATTGTGCGTCCGCGTGGGCGACCATGCGCAGGCGCTGACGGCGGGCGGAGGCATCACGCGCGCCCTCAGCGCCTCGCTCGAAGCGACCACCACCCGGCTTGACGATGGGATCGACTCCGAGGCCGCGCTGCGCATGTTCTGCTGCCTCTCCAAGCGCTTCTCCAAGCGCTCGGACCCGCCTGCCGACATCGCCGGCTACAAGAGTGTCGTGGTTCGGCTGGCGGAGGAAAGCATCGACAAGTCCTCTCTCAACCATCTGCTGGCCCCGAGCAAGCTCGCAAGCCTCGATATCTCGCAGCTGGTCACGCTCGTCGACGTCCTCCCGCCCGACGCGAGCGCGGATGGGCTGCTGCTGGTTGGCGACGTGATTTTCTCCGACTTTTCTCGCATCTCAGGCAGCAACCCGTCGTATTCGACGTGGCAGCACAAGGTCTCGCTCTCCCCCGCCGGCACGACCGGCGCCGGCAAGTCCATTATCCTGTTCCTCAACGTGACTCCACGAAGCGGTGCGGAACGCAAGCCCGGGGCCAATGAGCTCAAGAAGTGCGACGAGTTCGATATCAGTCTCTCCGTTGACGGGGAATGCGCCTCGGACCACCCGCTGACCGTGTACGACGTGCAGCTGAAGGCGCGTGGGACCGAAAAGCCATCGCCGAAGGTGGAATCGATGCGTGCCTCGTTCATGTCTGAGTGCCTCAGCATCGACCTCCGGACAGAGCTCTTTCAACCACCCGAGCCGCGCCCGATCAACGTGGCGCTCGCGGACGGCACGGACCCCGACACGGGCTCGCCGTCACATGTCGCCGGCTCCATCGTGTCGGGCGTGCTGAATTACCTCATCGACCGCGTCGTTGCCACCGGGAAAAAGGAGGAGGATTCGCCGACGGCGCCGTCGGTCAGGATGTCGCAGGAGCCTGTCGCGCCGCCGCCGCAGCCAGCTCCAGCACCACCAGCTGCGGCGATACATCAGCTACGTGTCGCGTCCGAAAAGGCGCTCGCTGATGCGGCGACCGAGGCCGATGCTGCGGACAAGGAGACCGATGCTGCGCCGCAGGACTCGGTCACGCGCCTCGGCCGCGCGCTCAACGGCGGCGACGACTCGGGGAGCGCGAGGGCGGAGCTGTCATCGCTTTGCACCGTCCGCATCGAGCTCCGCTGCGTGAAGGACGAGCGGCGACTCGCTCTTCTTCGCGCCTGGGCCAGCGCGCACGGGCTCGACAAGGAGGCGCCCTCGATGGTTGATCTCGTGATGTACTACGATGCGCTATGCGAGCGCGAGTCGCCCGAGGCAAACGCGAGCGACCCGATGCGCCCCGCCAGCGCCGACCCGCTCCGACGAATCCTCTTTGACGACACGCTCGCCCGGCCCCTCGCCGACTCCCGCAGCCTGCGCCGCTTCTTCGAGGAGGGCGCCACCCGGCTCGGCGCGCCCGCAGTCCGCCGCCTGCTCGCCGCCCGCCCGACGCGAACCACCGTCCCTTCAGCCAGCCGCCCGACCAGCCCCTCGCCCGAGACGTCGGAGGCCTCGGGCCCCTCGCCCCCGTGCGCCACCGAGCAGCTGAGTGCGGAGCAGGCGGCGGCGCCGGTGCGCACGCCGTCGAGCTCCTCTGCCGACCAGCGCCGCGCGCTGGCCCAGCCAACGTCGCCAGGCGCCGACGCGGACGTGGACGGCGACGCAAGCGCCGAAGAGGCGCTGCTTGACGCGCTGCGGCCGTGGGCTGCGGCACACACGCCCGACGAGATGGTGGCGGTGCTGCCGGCCTTGCGCATTGACCTCGTGCCGCTCGAGACGCTGCGGGCGAGATCGTAGCCGAGATCGGGCCGAGATCTGGCCGAGATCTGGAGCCGAGATCTGGCCGAGATCTAGCCCCTCTAGCCCCGAGGGGCGAGGGCGCGCTCGAGGGGCGGGGGCGCGCTCGAGCGATCTCACTGACCCAGGCAGCCGAGATCACCCACGGCTGACCGGCTGTGTGAGATGGATGCATAGGCGCACGTGCGGCAGCCCGACGGCCTCTTTGGCGACGCCGCCCGCGCGGGAAGCCCTCTGCGCGCCGCGCTGTCTGACGGGCTCCTCCCCGGCATCGAGGCACTGCGCGGTGTGTCGCTGGAGAACGAGGCGCCCGCGCTGTCGCCGCCCCCCCAGCGTCCCACAACCAGCGCCCCACCAGCGCAGGCCCTTGCGCGCAACAGCGGTCCTCATCATCACGCTCCCTCCTCAGGCTCCAGACGAGCTCACCTGCTGCATCACGCTGGCGCTCATGACCGACCCCGTCGTCGCGCTCGACGGCGAGAAGCTGCTCTGCGCTCCACATGCTCCAACTCCCCGCGCGTGACCCCACGCCGCGTATTCCGCAGGCAAGAGCTACGAGCGGAAGGCGATCGAGGCGTACTGGACGAGAGAGAAGGCCGCCGTCTCGCCGGTCACGCGCAAGCCGCTCCAGTCCAAGACCCTCGTCCCAAACATCAACTTGCGCGTCCTCTGCGAGGAGTACTCCGCAAGGCAGCGCCGACTCCACGGCGGCGCAACTTCGCCGCAGGACGTCGTCATGGGCGCGCTGCTCCCGCCGCCGCACGCGCCCGGCGCGAAGCGCAGGCGCCCGGCAGAGCTGGAGCACGACGAGCAGGCCGCCTCGGGCGTGGCCGCAGGCGCCAAGCGCAAGCTTCGGCTGGCCTCCGGAGACGGATCTCCGCCACCGGTCTGACGCGGAGACGGACTGACCCTCCGTGAAGGGATGTCAAGAGAGAGGCGGGGTCGCTGACGCGGCGAGGAGAGAGACGACCGGCCCAGCATACTGAGCGCGCGGGGGGCACACGCGGTGCAGTGTGCTCAGTCCTCAGCGCTCTCAGGCAGAAACGGGGCGCGGTTTGTGTTTCGGTGTGGGGCGGGAGGGCGCGGGAGACCGGCGGCGGCGGCGGCGGCGGCGGCGGCGGCGGCGGGGGGGGGGGGGGGTCGCGGCGATCATTGAGTGTGGCAAGCGTGATGCCTGTGATGCATCTCCCACCGATATCTCTCGTGACACCGACGGCAGAGGTGGCACCCCACTTCTCCAAAATGTATGTTCATTTTGTGTGCCGACATCACAT